GCTCGGCGTGTCCCGGCAGGAGCCGCCGCCGCCCGCGGGGCCCTGTCGCTACGAGCTGAGGCGGTTCCTGGAGTGCGCCGGCACCCAGAGCGACCTCGCGCTCTGCGAGGGCTTCAACGAGGCCCTCAAGCAGTGCAAGCTGAGCCACGGTGAGTGCCGCCCCGCAGCGCCGGGGGCAGCCGCGAGAGCCGGGAGAAGGCTTCGTCCAAGGAGCGGCGCGAGGGAGAGCCGCTCCCAGCGCCAGCTGCTGCTGCGTGCACCTAATGCTGACTTTGGGCCTTCTTGCTGCTTTTCTCCTCCCTGTAGGTGTTTCTTCCCTCCTGTGAGGACTCCTGTATGGAAAACGATCCTGGCACAGAGCGCTGCTGACAGCAGGGAGTAGAAGGAAGGACGGAGGGACAGGTTGTGATGTGGAGGGAACAGAGTGGCCAAATGGGAGTCTTCTAGTGGTAACTCACTTCTAGACTAGTAGGGAGAAATAGTTGGGCCTATGAGACTCTGGAATTTGGATAGCCCTGTATCTGTTACAGAGAAATAAAGGAAACTCTTTGAACCTGTTACTTGTGCATTTCCTTTATTTATCCTCAAGCTGCAGCCAGGCACTGAAATGCTAACCGCAACTCAGCTGCGTTCATGGGACAGACACCTGCATTTCCCCTGCGAGCAGGAGGTGCAGCCCAGCAAGGCCTGGGCCTGGGGGGCTTGAGAAGAGCAAATCCCGACCAAGCCGAGGCCCCAGCCTGGGCAGGGGCTGAACAGAGGCCAGCTGAGGTGTCCTGCAGTGTTCTCATAACTTGGTCTCTTTTTCCAACAGTGTCCTCGCCCTGAAGAGCTGTCCCCTGAGCCAGGAGCTGGGAAAATGCCCTGTCTGTGTGGCTGGGGGTGCTTTTTCATCTTGCTCGCAGCCTCGACAGGTTATGCAACGTTCCCAAGGTCAGCAGGGCCGGCAGGTCCTGAGCCGATTGCTCACTGCAGTCGTCACAGCAGAACAGCCCCGTGCGGAGCCGCCCACAGGCTCTTCCAGCGGGAGCCCGGGCCCTTCACACCGCGGGGCTTGTTCAAAGGGAATTACCAATCCCTAGGTTTGAGTTTCAGTAGCACAGCAGTGAATTTTAGCCCTTTAACGCCTGGATTTCACTGCTGCATGTACAGCTTCAAATCTGACAGCTTCTAGCTGTTGCGTATTGGACTAGTTCCCTGCCCCTTGCCTTAGTTTGAGGAAGTCCAGATTTAGAAGCTTAAAGTTGGCAGCAGGTACTGGAGACTGCTGATGAAATTCCTGCTCCTCCTAAATGTCAGGATTCGAACTCCCTGTGGCTGGTGGTGTCCTGGATGGTGCCCGGCCTTGTCTGGGTGCCCTGCAGGCTCTAGAAAGACCCCTGAGGGGAGGAAAAAAGCAGGTGCTGGAGCACAGGGAACAGCTCCGGTAACGCAGCAGTTCCAACTTATTTTTTTAAGAAGTAATTACTTTAAGAAGTAATAGTTGAACTGATGTTTGTGTGAGCTGGGTGCAAAATAGCTGTGGAAACGCAGCAGAGCGTGGTGGTAGCTGGGCTCGGTGCGTTCTGCCCCACGTTGAGGTTCAAGCCGTGCCCTCGGGTTTGGGGGGTGCTGGACGTGGCGTGAGCAGCTTTCCCTGGCGGGCACGAGGGTCCGTGAGGCTCTAGCAGGGCGCAGTGATGGTGTCCGCCGATCTCGTGTCACTCGGTGGATGTTTTTCTTGCAGCTTCGTGTCCTGCAGGAGGCCCCTTGGACACGGAAGCCCCCTTGGACCGCGAGGCGCACGGCAGCTGCTGCACTGAAGAACCTGGCGTCGCGCTGAGGATCCGACGCCGTGCTCACCAGCCCCGTCCCTCACCTCGGGGCGCCCCTCAGCTCGGAGCTCCTGCGCTGCGGGGTGGCCCGGGGCCTGGCCGGGGTGCTGTGGGACTGAGCCCTCCTCTGCGTGGGGCCCCTCTGCCACTGCTCTCGCAGCTGGGGGCTTGCTGACAGCTTCTGCAGCAGGGCTGTGGAGCGAGGCCCGAGAACCCCGGTTAGAGCAAAGTGCCTTCAACGAGTGGCCTGCTGCTCCGTGTGTCAATGGAGGCTGTGCCAACCTCCCCAGCTACTGCCTAGGAGGTGGAGATCCAAGTTTCCTGATCCCGCCTGTTCTTCCCTCCGTGTTTGTGCCAGGGAAATTTGTGCTCCCAGGGCTGCTCCCCCTTTGGTGTCCTTAACTCACCCATTGCCCCCAGCACTGACCCTTCCTGCCCGTGGATGCTTCTCCAAGCAGCCTGATGCTGTCGTGAGGGGGCCCTGGGAACCAGGGACAGGCTGTTTGTCCCTGGGGGCTGTTTGTCCCCTCCGCGTGAGGGCTCTGCCAGGGCGGGCTCCGGCGCTGGTTGTGGCTCTTACCTGCGAGCTCAGGGTAGTGTTTCCCCAGGTTCTCCAGCAGGGACTCGTAGCAGGTGGATTCAGTGTCTTCTTTTCCTACCAGCAGAATGGGAGAATTGGGTTAATCTCATAGAAAAATGAAGACTTTTAACTGGGCAGGTGGCTCTGCTCGCCAAAGGCTCCCCTTCCCCACAGGTGCCACCTCAGCCTGCAGGACAGGACACTGTCCCGTGCAGGTCTAGTTTTCCATGTGAGCGGATTCCTGCCTTCTCAGAGCTGGCTGCTGAGCAGAGCCCTCTCCAGGCTGCAGCTCTTTCCAGGTGGTTTTCCCAAGGGTTTCCCTAGGGCAGGGGCAGTTGCTGGAAATGCTGTGCGGAGTCTCACGTTCCCAACAGATCCCTCGAGGGCTGGGGAACTCACGGGTGACTTTGATGAGGATGTAGCGCTGTCTTTCCCGCAGGTATTTACTGGCCAATTCAGATGCAGAGTTCTCTGCTTTGCTCAGGTTCATGAGAGCCCCTGATTCATCCAGAAGATCGATGTTGTCTAAAAGGAGAGAGGAGGGGTGGTGTATCCAAGCACCTGTGCATGGCCCTTGCCAACCCTTGGACCTTAGAGGACTTTTCCTTGGAGCTGCACTGTGAAGAGTTATGGAGAGGTCTAGAGGGGAGGTTTGTGCCCCCTTTACTTTGGGCATCTGCAGCTCCCCGTAAGCCCTTTGCCACCCTCTGCTGTGCCTCTCCTGAAGGAAGAACATCCACCCCGAGGTGAAGGCAGCTCCCGAGCAGTTACCTTCTGGTCTGCACTGACACTTCCTCTTCAGGTGGGCCACGAGGATGAGGAGCCGGCAGTGCAGGTTCACCATCGCTTGGCAGTCGGCTATCGACGGGAAAAGGGGTGTTAGATGGGGGAAGACTGGGGCCACCCAGTGCAGGTCAGCACCACTGGCGCAGATCAGCTCAGGCACAACGGGGGGCTCTGAACTGCCCCCGGCCGGGGCAGCGAGGGTGGGATCCCCACCTGCTTCCCAGCTCATCTCGAGCTACCCGTGCACCCTGGTGCTGGGAACGTTCTGCACCAGGGCCTGGGCGCTTGGGCTGGGTGTTAGTTTACTTGGCTGCATGAAGCGTCACTGTCCTTCACCACAGTTTCTTCAGCGGGGAGAAGCAGGAAGATCCTTGAGCCTCAGCGCGTGGGGCTCCCTTGATCTCGGCTTGTGCAGGTCGCGCGTGGGAGGAGCGGCGCCCTGGGCTGGCTCGCGGGGTGTTTGGCCACAAACTCCCCAAATTTGGCACGACGGAGAAATCCCCGGGGCTGACGAACAGCAGCTCCGACCCAAATAGCAGAGGGACCAAAGGCCTCGGGCCGCGTGGCTCTGGCAGCTCCTGCTGCAAGTCCCTGGGCTCAGGCAGAGGATTTTGGCCTGGACGGCACCTGCCCGGCAGCCTGGGTGCAATGGCCCTCCCTGCGGACTGTTTGCTCCCTGAAGCGGGATTTGAGCAAGGGGAGCCCTTCCCAAACAGCGGGCACCGCATGGATGCGGGAGCTCCAAGCGCTGCCCGTTGTGTCCTGTGTGCGCCCCGGCTGTGTCTAGAGCACAAAACTCTCATCTGCTCCTCGCCAAGCGCCCGCTCGGAGCTGGAGGCTGCAGACGTGCAGCCGGGGGCGCTTCCCGGCTCCCCTGCTGCTGGCAGCCCTCCCGGGGCCGCTCTTCCCGGTCGCGCGAGCGTCACCCACCTACCTCCGTATCTCACCAGGGCGAACATGGCCCTTCCCGCGCCCCTTCCCGGGCCCTTCCCGCGCCCCTTCCCGGTGCCGCTCCGTCCCCTCGGCGCCGCTCCTGGCAGCGCCAGGGGAGGAGCCGCGTTTCCAACCAGCGCTCCCTTCGCTTGGGTTTCAGCGCTCGGATCTCCCAGCAACGCGGCGCTGCGCGAGCAAAGCATGGCCTTGGGGGCGGGATTCGGGGGCTGTTATCCGCCACGCTCTGGATGTCGCTCCTTCCTGGGGCTCGTGTTTGCTCCCCAGCCTGCCTGGCCTCGGCTGGTGCCGGCTGCCCATGCTGCTCCCTGCGGAGCCCAGCACAGCCCAGTCTCCTGTGATGGGCACCTGTAAATGGTATCCTCTCCCCCGGGACAGCTTTGCTCTGATTTGAGGAGATAGCTGCCTTACTGGGGTGAACCTGCCGTATTGGGGTGACCTTCTGGAGCACATCTCGTATTGAGTGCCGCTGGCGGGACCGCGAGCGCCAGGATGTGCTCAGCCTGCTCTTGCATCCAGTCCCTTTCCTGCCCATGCACAGGGCGGTCTGTGGTGCCCGTGCAGCGCCCGCAGCTTCCCCTTGGTGCCCAAACACCCGTGTCCTGCAGCAGCTTCCCTGGACGTGCAGATGGAACCAGCACCGCAGCAGAGACCCGCGGGGCCCTGCGCGTCCATCGCCCGCGGCTCCACGGGCGCCTTCCCTGCTGTCCCGTCTCCCGCCAGGCTCCCTCCCCGTGTGGGCCAAGGGCAATGCCACGGAGTGGGGGGCCGCGGGGCCTGTGGGGCTGAGCCCCACTCTGCTCTCCCGCCCCGAGCACGGGTGAAACGGCAGCGCCCGGCTCCGCTTCTCCCCAGCGCTGCCAGCGGCGCCCGCTGCTCCCCGCGCCGCGCGGATCCCGACGCCAGCTCGGGCTTTGGCAGCCGCAGCTTCCTGGCGGCGCGGCGCTGCGGGCAGCGGGTTCGCACCCCCCGGGCGGGGTTAAAACGTGCGACGCAAGAAGGCAGTGGTTGGGTTACAGGGGAGGGTGTTTTCCTCTTTCTGGTCACACTCGGCTGTTCCACACGTCTCCGGACCCTGCACACTGTGTGACGGGGGTTTGGAGACCCCAGGTCACGTTCCCAGGCTCCAGGGTGGGTTGTAAGCTGCGATTTGGTGTTCCTGGTCTCCAGAAGCTGATGGAGCCTGGGGAATGGCATGAGGCTGGTGAGCAGAGCAGGCTGTGGGGAGCACGTTCCTGGGCTAAAAAGGCTTCTTGAGGAAAGAGGGAAATTGGTCCGTCAGCCCCAGCCTCCGCATCCCCCGCTGCTGCCATCCGGGAGGTCTGGCCTGGTGTGTGGGGCCGCTTTCCTCCAGCTCCTGCCCCACGGAAAGGGGCTGCGGGGCTGGTGCGTGGGGCTGAGCCCTGGACACAGGGGGCCCGTCCAGTCCCGGCCCTTCCTGCGGTGTGGAGGGGCCTCGGAGCGCGGCTCCGCGCGTGCCCGGGGCCGGCAGCCTGTGCTGCAGAACCCGGGGCACCCCCGGAGCTCCTGCCCTGGCGCCGAGGCCGGGCCTCCAGCGGCGGCTGCCGGGGGAGGGAGGCCACGTCCGCGCTTCGCTTTGCCCCCCTCTGCAGCAAATTCATGTCTAGGGATCAGCGCCTGGAAAAGAGACGCGAGAGAGGGATGAGGAGGGAGGCGGATTTGCCCAAGGGAACCCAGGCTGAACCTGCCTCCTGCAGTCGCTGTCTCTCCAGCACAGACAGTGGATTCCAGGCACGTGAAGTTCCTCTTCCCGCTCTGCACTCAACCACAGCGTGCTGCAGGAGGAGAAAATTTCCCACGCGGGAAATCACCCGCGGTGCCTGCCACCAGGATCCCCTCCCTGCTCAGCCTCTCCCAGCCAGCTGAGCTCAAAGCCCTTCTTACCACCACGTTACCCACACATTGCTGTTCTCTCCAACGCCAGGGAAGGGTTCCTGGGCCTGGGGCGGCGCTGGGCACAGGAGGGCAGCGCCGGGGCTGCCCGTGCGCCGCGGGCGGCGCTGGCTTTGCGCGCGCAGAGGATGTGGCCGCGAGCGGTTCCCATCCGAGCTGCGAGACGGGCAGATCTCGACAACCTGGCGCTGCAGAGTTCGGGTCCCTGGAGGCGCCTGCAGGAGGTGGGTGCTGCCCGGGGAGCGACCGGGCACCTGCGGGGCAGGGATATGGCCCTGGGCTCAGACCCGCTCCCTGCGCCGGGGCTGTCCGGGGTGCTGGGACTGGCCCTTGTGGCCACCACCAGGGTTGCTGCCCGCCTTGCCAGCGTCCCCCGTGGCGCACGGTGGTCCCGGGCCCTCGGCCTGGCCGGAGGGGACGTTTGCCACGTGCTGCTCCTGCTTCCCACGGAGCCGCTTCCCATGGCGGGTTGATCCTGCTGGTGGGGTCTGCAGGTGGTGCTTTCACAGGAGGCACCAAGCGCACTCGGCTCCGGCGTGGGGGAGAGCGGCAGCCCCGGCGGGCGCGCGGGGCCGGGCATGGCGCTCGCCCCGTCCCGCGCCGCGCTCCTGCTCCCGCTCCTGCTCCTGCTCCTGCTGCCGCCGGCCCTGCCGCACGGTGAGTCCTTGTGCCGCGGCCCTTGGGGAGGTGCCCGGCAAGGGGCTGGGGCTGCCCAATGCAGACAGACCGCAGCATCGCCGTGGTCCTGGCCACCGGTGTCCCCTCGGTGTCCCCTGCGCGGTGGCCCCGCCAGCCCTGCGCGACCCTCGTGGAGCCGGGCTGGGGGCTGCTCTCCATCACCCCTGGGTTTCTCCTTGATTTCTGGGAGTTTTTGTAGCTCCGGGGCTGAGCCCACACTGGTTGTTCCCTGACTTGTGCCCTGCCTCCTTGGAGGTTGCCAGAACAAAGGCAGAAGCAACAAAAAAGCAGATCCCGACACATTTTTGCAATAGTAACTGGATGTGACCCGGTGAAGGAGGTATCAGCTAAGCAGCGCTGGATGTTTCTGAGCAGCGTAAGGAGCTGGGTGCAGACGTTTGTTTATCAAGATTGAATGAGCTGATAGCCAAGAGTAAAAGAAAGATAAGACAGTCCCAAGAACATCTAACGTTTGCTGGTGTGAAACTTGCCATGCTCCCACGGCAGCTTTTGTGTAACGAAAGCGTGTGGGGCTGCTTGTCCGGACAACACACCGGGCATGGCGTGGAAGGTGCTGCGTGCTGCGATTCTGGGTGGGAATGCAAGCACGGACATCATTAGGAAATCCTAGAGGGAGTTAAGGAGAGGCAGGCACGGGGATGAGCCCCACGTCTTCCTCAGGGGGTCTCTGGGGCTGGAGAGAGATTTAGGGCTTGGACACTTGCTGGGGATTTAGTGAAGGCTTCTGTGTGCCCTGGGAGCCCCCAGGAAATGAATTTAGTCAGACCTCTAGGTCTGCCTCTCACCAGGGTGACGTTCACTCCGTGCTCAATGTTGGTCACGAGCCTTCCTCGCCGGGGAGCAGAGCTCGGGGCTGGGAAAGCAGTTTGCCTGTAGTTCTCACTCGTTGCTTTGGGTTCAGAGGCTCTCAGGTGTCACGGGAGCCAAGTGCTGCTCGTGGCCGAGGGGGAGCCCGTCTCCATGGCGTGTCCCTTCCACGAGCACTGCCACAAAGACGCTTTCCACGAGATCATCTGGAGCTACGAGAACGACACGAGGAGGATCCTGCAGTTCAGGAAGACGCCGCCCGCGAACGCCTCCGTCGTGTCCTGCAAGGAGGGCCACTTCGGCGCTGAGCTGGATTTCGGGAGGTGTGTGAGTTTCCTCAGCATCTCGGAAGCGCTGTTGAACGACACCGGCCGTTACCTCTGCTACGTGAAGGTGGGACACAGCAACTCCTCCACAGAGGTGACTCACCTGCTCGTTACAGGTGAGTTTGTCTCTCTCCCTCTGTTTTCCTGTTTCTCTCCCTCCGTTTTCCCATTTCTCTCCCTCCAACAGTGCACCTCCCTGGGACAGCTTAGTCCCCTCTCGTCACAGAAGGGCTAAGTCCAGGTTTGGGGCCTGGTCGTGGCTGAGCTGACAGTCCTTCCCCGCACACCCAGGGGCTGCCATCCCGCACGGAGCTGCCTCGCTCTGCTCGCCTGGCGCTGCTGGAGCGGGCAGGAGCCCCCCTCACACAACAGTGTCCTGCGGAGTCCGGTTTCCCACCAAGGGAATCCCTTTCCTTTCGGTCCCCTGTTTTGTTCTGAAGCAGCAGATAAGCAGGATGAGGGGTAAAGCGCAGGCTGAAGCCTCCCCTCGCAGCACATGTGAGTTGCTCAAGAGGCTCTCTGCAGCCCCAGCGCCAGGGTCTGCTCTCCAGCGCGTTGTCCTGGCGTTTTGCAGGGATTTTTGCCTGTGACCGGGGACTTGCCAGTGTCAGAGCAGCTCCGTCACGGACACTTCTTTGCAGAGCAGCTCCGTCACAGACACTTCTTTGCAGAGCAGCTCCATCTCGGACACTTCTTTGCAGAGCAGCTCTATCCGCTTCTTCGCAGGCCAGCCGCCCAGCGCAGCCCCCGCGGGCCTCCTCCGCTCTGCGCCCGCGGGCAGCGAGGTCACTCTGGACTGCGACCTCGGCGCCAACGGCACCGGCAGCTTCCCGGGGCTCCTGTGGCTGCACTGGCCGGAGGAGGGCCCCGCGCGGCTCCTCGCCTGGCACCACGAGCGCGGCTGCCCCGGCGGCGCCAGCGCCGGCCCCCGCATCCGCAGCGCGCTCGATCCGGAGCGTCGCCGCGGCCGTCTCACCATCACCGCGCTGCAGCACGGAGACAGCGGCTGGTACCGGTGCGAGACGCTGGGCCAGCTCGCGGGCCGGCAGCGAGGCAGGGCAACCAGGCTCGCTGTGAAGGGTGAGCGTCTCCAGAGGGAGCCTGGCCTGCTGTTCCAGCCCTTTTGCCCGCCTGGGTCTTTAGATTTGACAGCCTATTTCTCCTAATCCATGGCCTGGACCTGTTCACACCCAGTGAACGTGTGACACCTCTCACCAAGGCCGTGTCTTTAGCACAAGGGGTGACTCACGCTCGCGCTGGGGACGTGCTGGTAGGCGGCAGCTCTAGCTGTGGCCGCAGCTGGTACCAGCACCGGCTCGTGCTGGCTGCACGGACCAAACATGGTCAAGAAAAGTCACACAGATAAATTTAGGATGTCACCTGCGACAAGCCGCAGGCTGCTGCAGATGCTAATCTGTAAGAGTTGTTGCTTGCTGGGGATTTGGTCCCTTAAGAAACACACTTTCAGCTGTGCCCGGTGATGATGTGGATTCCCCATGCATTTAATTCCATGTGCAAACATGCCTTTCATCCAACGTGACCCATAAGGAAACCCAGCAAACCTGCTCCAAGGAAATCCCGACTGCGCTTGGTGTGTGACCATGCGAAGCCTGGCCAATTAATCCAGGATGTGATTGACTGAAATTATGCAGTAATTTGGACTTGGACTGTAATTGAAATTATGCAGTAATTTGATATTGGACAGACTCATCTGGGGGTTATTCAATCTGATGGTAAAACATGACACTGTTTTGAAGCGCAGGACTTGCCATGTTCAGGTTGATTTGTTGCCAGATTCGTATTTTTGGGGAAATTCTTAGCGCTTGGGCCTTTGCTGTCCTTTCCAGGCTCGCTGACCGTGCTGCTGGCGGCTCTGGGGAGCGCTGGGCTTGCTCTGGCCACCTCCTGCCTGTGCTTCCAGTGTAAGTAGCACTGCATGTGTCCCCTCGTCACGGCGACCTCCCCACGTGTCCCCTGCACCTCTGCGAGGGCGTTTGTCCTTCGGGGACGCGGCCGGGACACGGTGCCCCGGCTCCGCTGCAGTGGGGCAAAGCAGCCGGGAGCAGGGCAGCCTGCAGCGGGCCCTGCCCTGTGGCGCAGGCTGCTCCCGCCGCGCGGGACGTCCCGCGCGCTGCCCGCGCAGCCGGCGGCCCCGGATCTCTGCTCCGCCGGAGACGCCGCGGCCCCGCTGCGAGCGCGCGCCTGAGCCCGCCGCCAACAGCACCTACGCCAGGCTCGGCAGCGAGTACAGCGTAAGGAGCCGGTGTCGGCGGGAGCGGCCGGAGCGGCCGGAGCCCCCACGCCGCTCTGCGTAACCCCGGCCGCTCTGTGCTGGCAGCTCCTCGCCTTGCCTGCGCGCAGCGCCTGCACCGGGAGCCAGGGACACGGGTGACATCGCAGCAGGGACACGGAGCCGTGCGGGGTGTCCTGCACTCGGTGCTGCACGTGGGTTCCCTGCCGGGCTCCCTAGGAAACCTCCCTCCCCTTCAGCTAGTGTGTTGTGTCATTAGCAGCTGTGTCAATTAAAGCCACCCGAGCAGCGACTGTGCGAGTATCAGTGCCGTCCTTGCCGTGCGGGCTGCTCCGGTGCAGCCACATCCTCCTCCCATGAAGGAAAAGCCCTTTGGCCTCCCCAGGAGGAGCCAGGAGGTGGGAGCTCTCCCATGCCAGAACCAGCGGCAGGAGCAGCCGTGTGCTGCAGCTCCGGCCCTAGAGCTTCCCCCTTAGGAGAGCTCTAGGAAAACCCGGAGCTGCGAGTTGGGGTCTCCTCGGTCCCGGCTGCTGCAGCGCTCGGCTCCCGCCGGCCCGGCCGACGTGGCCACATCGGAGAAGTGAAGGCCACCCTAAACCAGCTTGCAGGGTTGTGGCCACAGTTGCCCCGATCAGACCTCTCTGTGGTCACCCCTAAGATGGTTGCACTGGTTTTGTGTAAAAAAAAAAAAATCGCTGAGTTTGTGTAGGTTTGTGGCCCTCAATTTCCTTTCCCATGCAGAGCTTCTCTCTGGTGCTCTCTACTCGTGCTGGACACAGCAGAGCCCTGCAGTGTCCTGCAGTGAGCCCTGGAGCAGGTCATTGCTGGGGTCTCATGCCTCGTGCTCTGCTTTGGAGAGCGCCTGAGGGGCTGCCCCTTGCACGGGGGGCAATGGGAAGCAGGGATTTACTGCGTGTGACACACAAATGCTCCACATTTCCGTAGATGTTCGACAGCCCTTGCCATGCTCACATGCTGCAGCAGCTCCTCAAATCCACCGGGCAAGGTGCAATACAGCAGCATCAGGGCTTACCAGCCCCTCAGCCTCCTGGTTTGCATGCACGTGTCCTGCTCAGCAGCATTTGCATTGCTCCGATTAGCCCCCGCCGCTGCCTTGTGGTCTCTGGGCTCCCAGGGGAGGCTACGACACAGTAAATTGGGCCAGCTTGTGTGGGGAGAGGTGCTTTTGTTAGACCGACTGTTAATAGAAGATGGAAATACTCGATGCGCCGCTGGGCACACGAGCCCCTGTCCGGAGCACTGCAGCGTATCGCAGCAGGGCGGCCGCGCAGCGTCTCGCCCTCCGGCATGGCTGCTGCTGCCGCTCCGGGAGCTTCGTGGCTGCGGATGCAGGGATGCACGGAGGGGATGCAGGGCTTGGAGGAGCTCGGTCCTCGGCCTTGGACGGCTGCGGAATGCGGCGCCTCAGTGGGGCAGTGACAGCAGGAGGGTCCTTACGGTCTGTGCAGCTGACAGCCTTTTACCTTAGAGACCTGCGGTGTCTGCACGCGGCTGCACCGCGGCCCTTCATTGCACAGGGCAGGTCTGTCTGCGACCCCCAGGTGTTTGCCCCTAGGTCCTGCTCTTGAGGAGGCCGCAGCAGAGGCAGCGCTGCCGGTGCCGCCGGGCTCCTGCGGAGCTGCTGAGGCCCCTGGTCTCTTTTACTGCAAATCTTGCTGGGGCAAAGACAGATGGGGGCAAAACCGCTAAGCCGAAGACTACAGGAAGAGCTCTCTTCTCACTTCATCGGAGAGCAGCAGGGAGCCCCTGGGGACCCGGGGCAGGCTCTGGGTGCAGGGGGCACCTGCAGGCACGTCGCAGCCCCTGGTGAAGCTGCCTCCAGCCCCGCGCCACCGGCGTCCCCGGGGTCATTTACACAAGCACCGCCGGCCGGGGCTGCCGCCCGCCGCCCCGCGGCGCCTCGGCCTCCCTCCATGGGCCCTGCCATGGCCCTGCGCCTCGCCGTCCTGCTGCTGGCTGCCTCCGTGGGGACGGGTAAGGCCGGCACGGCTGCTCCGTGGGGCCGGGAGGCGCTGCGGGACCGTGGACAGGACGAGGTGGATGAGATGTGCAATGAGCGGGAGGGCGGGTGGCTTTGTGGGGGACCACGGGGTGCTTTGGGGCTGGGGAAGGTGTTTCATGCCGTCGGTAACGGTGTCCTCGGGCCGCGCAGCCTCCGGGACGCGGCCCGTGCTGACGCAGCCGTCGTCGGTGCTGGTGCGGCCGGGGCAGACAGCCCGGCTCTCCTGCGCCCTGCACCCCCGCTACAACATCAGCCAGGTCGGCATCTCCTGGTACCAGCAGCGCCCGGGCCACCCGCTCAGGTACCTGCTCTACTACAACTCCGAGTGGGACCAGCACAAGTCCCCCGAGGTTCCCGACCGCTTCTCGGCCACCAAAGACCCCGCCAGCAACGCCTGCATCCTGATCATTGAGGCCGTGCAGGACGAAGACAACGGCAACTATTACTGCGCGCTGTCCCGTTCCATGAGGTCTTGGTAGGAAGGGGCAGCCATGTGTCTCCATGGCCGAGCCCTGCGCCCTCCGTGGCGTGGAAACCCTCCCGCGTGCTTGAGCGAGCCCCACGCTGCGATGGGCAGCGATGTCCCCTCCGCCCAGGCTCCCCCAGGGGCTCCGGGTGCCAAGCGAGATCCCGATGGCGCTCGGAAAGGGATCCCGCGGCACGGAGGGGCCTGGATCCTGCCCAGGGCTCCTGCTCCTTCGGCCCCGCTGAGAATAAAGGCTGCAGCTTAGCCGCATGGCTGGTGGCGTGTGTGGAATTGGGTGGGATCTCAAGGATTGTTGGGAATTCGGTGGGATCTCCCAGGCCTGTGGCATTCCCAGCTCCACCGACCATCGTGGCCTTGGTGTCACGCGGGGAGCTGTGTGAGGCCGCGTGGGGAAGGGCCTGTGGGTGAAGCCACGTGCCAGGGAAACGTCCCGCTGGGAGCCCCCTGCTCCTCCGGGTGCTCCCATGGGAGGGCTGGGCTGGAGGAGCTGCTCCTGCTGCCAGGCACTGCCCTGGGGCATCATTGTGTGGGGCTGGGGGCTGTCCATGGGGCTGGCGGACCCTGGGGCACCCACAACCACAGCAGTGGGTGGACGGGCTCCAGAGAGGAGCGGGTGACATTGAGGTCGTCGTGACGCCCTGAGCGACGCCGCACGTGGGGCTGATTATGGCAGCGTAGGGGGGAGTCAAGGGCGCAGCATGGACCCCTTGTGCAGGGACCCTCCTCACCAGCGAGCGGGGTTTGCAAAAAGCTGGGTGAGAAAGAAAAACAGGAGGGAAGAAAATGGAATGAAATGGGAGGAAAAAGGGGGAAAAAAAAAAAAAAAAAAAAAAAAAAAAAAGAGAGAGAAAAAAGTAAGAAGGTAAAAGATAAAAAAAGGGGAAAAGAAAGAAAAAAAATGGAATAATAAGGGGAAAGAAAAAGGAGGAAAGAAAGAAAAAAGAAAAATGGAATAATGAGGGGGAAGAAAAAGGGAAAAGAAAAAGAAAGAAACGGAAAAAAAGGAAAAAAAAGAAGAAATAAAAAGAAAAAATCGGGAAAAAAGGCGGAAAAAAAGAAGAAAGAAAAAGAATAAAAGGAAAAAAGGGAAAGAAAAAAAGGCGCCAAGCGCGCGAACGCGCGAGGAGCGCGGGCCGCCGCGCCGCACTGCGCATGCTCCGCGCCGCCGCCCGCGAGAGGTGGCCTCGCGGTCACGTGGGGAGCTAGTGGCGCTGCCATTGGCTGGGCCCGCCTTGAAAACAAGCGCGGCGTCACTTCCTGGATACCGCCGGTGGCGTCGGGGAGCAGCGGGCGCGAGGGGAGCCGCGCGGCCGCCGGGATGGTGAGAGGGGCCGGGACCGGCACCGGGACCGGAACCGGAACCGGGGCGGCCCCGGCCTGCGGCTCCGTGCGAGCAGCTGCCGCCCCCCTTGCCGGGGCGCTCCGTGCGGGCAGGCGGCTCATTCCCCCCTCCCTCGCTTCCCCGTGCAGCTGGTGTTAGTGCTCGGCGACCTGCACGTCCCGCACCGCTGCAGCGGCCTGCCCGCCAAGTTCAAGAAGCTGCTGGTTCCGGGGAAGATCCAGCACATCCTGTGCACGGGGAACCTCTGCACCAAGGAGAGCTACGACTATCTCCGGACGCTGGCTTCGGATATTCATGTTGTTAGGGGGGACTCCGAGGTAAGGTGTTTGTTTACTTTGTTTTAAGCTGCTTTAAATTCCAGGGATTCCCCACGTTGCATGCTGCGGTTGTGCTGTGTGTCCTCTGGTTCCTGGACCATAGGCTTTGGGTGCTGGGAGCAACACGAGTGACACCAAGCAATCCAAATGACAGGATGCTTCTGGCTGTGGCAGTGATACCGGCTGAGGGGTGAAGCCATGTGCCCCTACATTCCTGTGGACCAAGTCTACTTCGCACTGAAGAAAGTCAGTTTGGGTTCCCAGACTGCTCTGTGGTGGTGGGAATTGGGGCTTGGGTGAGTGTTTTCCTACTTGTAGGGCAGTCTTGAAGCTATTGGAGCCTGAGGCTTCAGTGTAGTGTGAAATCCCAGTTCTCTGGGGTATGGTGTGTGCATCTGCCTCCTTTACACACTGAAGAAACAGCCATGCAAGTGTGTGTCATGTATAAATCCGAGCCTTGTAAATGAAGGATCTCTTCTGTGTATCTTTATATAACCTGTGCATATCTCATCCTCAGAGCCTGAATTATCCCGAAGAGAAGGTTGTGACTGTGGGGCAGTTCAGAATTGGCTTGATTCACGGCCATCAAGTTATTCCCTGGGGAGATGTGGCCAGCCTGGCTCTGCTACAGAGGCAGCTGGATGTGGACATTCTCATCTCTGGACATACGCACAAATTTGAAGCTTTTGAACACGAAAACAAATTCTACATCAACCCAGGATCAGCAACAGGCGCCTACAATGCTTTGGAGATGTGAGTGAAATGGGTTGAGGGAACTTGCAGCTGCCCAGTGCAGGGAGCATCTGTAGGCTTTACCTTAAAGGTGCATGTTCATGGGCTAGTGACTGCCTGCCACCACATTTAAGAGCTTTTCTTAGAGCCCTGTCATGTAGGGCATCAGCTCTGTCTCTTCACAGATGAAGACATGTGGCAGCTTGCCCTGGAAAGACTTTTCTTCAGCCCAAGTGCTAGATAGGGCCCAGCACTGGTTTATTAGGCTCTCCTTTCTGAGCCTTTGAGGGGCTGAGTTGCGGGAGCTGCTTGAACCAAGACTGCCACCTCGTGTCCAGCCCACGCTCTGTGCTAGCACTTCTGCAAGCTGGACTTTCTGAGGTGCTAGTACCCAAACCATAGGATTCTAATGTGGTTTAAGGTGCCAGCCTTGAGGGATCGCTGAGAATAGCTTCAAATCTTCTCGAGATGCTGTTGTCCCTGCCTCCGAAGTCCAGTGTTTTCCCTCTTGCTGCAGTGCTTGCAAGTCAAATGTATTAGTCTAAAAATGTTTTTTAAGATGCATAAGCTACAAAGCTCAAGAAAGCCTCTCTCTGTTTTCCAGAAACACCACCCCTTCTTTTGTGCTGATGGATATCCAGGCATCCACAGTTGTGATTTATGTGTATCAGCTGATTGAAGAGGATGTGAAAGTAGAAAGAATTGAGTTCACGAAACCCTGAGGTGTATGTGCATCACTCACAGCCTGTCACCCCTTCTGGGTGCCTCCTTTCACTCCGTCCTGATGGGATGGAGGCCACGAGAGGGTGCTGYAGCAGCACCTTGGGCTGTAGCTCGGCCACGATGCTCTAGCAGTGCYTTRTGAGCTGCCCAAGAGGTTTGGTCCTGGACTAGGAGCAGACCTTGAGGCAGGAGGGGCTGCTGAGGAGCAGCTCTAGCTGTGGGAAATGCAGCCCCTCCTCAGACAGGCGGTGGCCTTGCGGGCTCCACTGTCCCGGGTGGTGGTGGGCTGGGCTTGGGGGTGCTGTGTAGAGGTGACCTGGAATAAAGACCTGTGTTTGTGCACCTGGATCCCTGTGTGATGGTTTTTGGGAGGAGAAGTGGGGCTGGGCGCAGTGTGGAGGTGCGGGAAGAAGCTCCTGGCCGAGGGGCGGCCGAGCCTTGGGGTGTGGGAGGGAGAGGGGCGCAGGGCCTGGGGCTGCTCGGGCAGCTCTGCCTGTGTGACCTGGCTGTGGCTGCRTGGGGACCTTCCTCGAGCCCTCCCCAGGGTGCAGGAGGGCCTGGGCCCGTCCTCAGCACAGCCGCGTGGCTGGTGGGTCATGGGGTGCCAGAGGAAGGCAGCTCCTGTGGATGCCTGGGCAAGGTGGCACCTCGGAGCCTGTGGGAGATGTTCTAGGAATCTATTCAGCTTGGATCTAGTGGAAAGCTGTCCCTGTCACAAAACTCTTGAACTGAGTAGCTACCTGTTTGAGTACAAACCCAGCAGTGTTCCCGCTGCTGTACCAGAAGGACAAGAGCTCCTGGGGCATCCCTGCACCCTTGTCGGCTTCTCCCGCTGCCTCTGCAGAGGTAGGTGCTGTTACTGGGGTGTGAGCCAAGCATGAGGCTGTGTATTTACTGTGGTAGCGGGGGCTGCAGTGCTGACCACAGGTAAGATGGGCTGTGTGTTGGTGGCATTAAGGAGCAATGGGCAAGGAGTAATGGGCAAACCCTTATCTACCTTACAAGAGTGACAACACGAGCCACACAGGTATGCTACATATTCCTTCTGCCAATCCTGGTGTGCCAAGTTCACCTATCTGAGGGTACCACCTTTGTAAGTTTACCTACAATACCATCTTTGCCTGAAAGCAAATGTACCGCAGTTCCTAAGGATTACACCAGGACTGTCCAGTTTACACCAGGACTCTCCAATCGGCTTTGCGGTCACGTGGCAGCCAGACAGCTGCCTTTGATTTTGGTCTGCTGATGGCAGAAGTGCACTGCTGTCCTTGAAGTTGGTTATCTACATGAAAAAAAAGGCATCTTGTTTGCTGACAGGCACTGTCCTGCTGTCCTTGAAGTGGGGCCTTCACAGGGCTGGTTGGTGATAGCTGTTGGGAAGGCTGAGTGATTCAGGGTTTTGTTGTTAATTATTAACCAACATGTGGCAGCAACTGGGGTGACAGAGGCGCTGTGCTGTAGGCTGGGGTGAGTGGGGTGATGTCAATGTTGGTGACAACCAGTTGCTCTGTCCTGCAACCCGAGCACAGGGCCATTGTCACCTGTGAGTGTCCAAGCTGGAGCCAGGGATGCTGGTCCTAGTGCTGCACAGCTGAGCTCCGGCATGAGCCAAGGCCCCTGCTCAGCACCATGGGCAGTGAAGCAACGTATGGGTCGGGCAGCAATGGGGCATGTTCGGGATGGCCCTGAGCTGGGGGCAGCCGGGGGTCCCTGGCGAGGTGGAGGTTCCCCCGTCGGCGTGGGGACGCGCAGCTGGAGGCATCGCGCCATGGCCTGGGCCCCTCTCCTCCTGGCGCTGCTCGCCCACGGCTCAGGTGCCCTGGGCAGCCGGGGGGTGCRCGGCCTGCGGGCACCGGGGCCGGGGGCATCGCGCTGCGCGGGGGGCTCTGCTGCTGCCGCACTCGCTGACCCGCCGCTCTCTGCCCTCTCTCCTCTCCCTCTGCAGGATCCCTGGTCCAGGCAGCRSTGACTCAGCCGGCCTCBGTGGACGTGTCCCCCGGAGGCACCGCCACCATCACCTGCTCTGCTGGTAGCAGCAGCTGGTTTGGCTGGTTGCAGCAGAAACCTGGTGGTGCGCCAGTCGTTGTGATCTATCAGAACGACAAGAGACCCTCGGGCATCCCGGCGAGATTCTCCGCTTCCACGTCTGGCTCCTCGAACACTTTAACCATCACTGGGGTGCAAGCCGAGGACGAGGCCGTCTATTACTGTGATGTTTGAGACAGCAGCAGTTATGGTGATAGAGATGGGAAAGTGAGATGCTCATAACCTGTGTTCTAGGATGAATGACTGTAGTTGATATCAGGAGAAACCAGGAATTATCCCTGTGATTTCCCATAGCAAGAGACCCCCTGGCATCCAAGTCTGCTTCTCCAGTACTGCCTCTTGCTCGTCCACAGTGTTAAGGCTTCCTATGGTTGAAGGGGTCCTGAGTCAAAAAGGAGGCTGAGTACTTGTGTGGTAGCAGGGAGGTAGTGCTGGCCATAAGCACAGCCTGGAGTCATGGAGGGGATGGATGGTACCTTGAGGCGCTGTCACTGAGTGATGATTAATACGTGGGAAAGGCTTCGCCACGGCTGTTTCCCAGCTTCTGCAGAGCCCAGAGCCCACTGGTGTTGGTGAACCCTCCTGAGACTGTTGCCCTTTCCTGCAGCTGGGATATAGGGTGGTCACCCCCAGCAGCTGTCCAGGCTGGATGCAGCAGAAACCGGGCTGTGTCCCAAAGCATTTGCTGTGCAGTGCGTAATCGAGTACCTGAAGCGTAGAGCTAGCACTAACTGTGGGCCAGATGTGCACGGAGTCCCCCAGGGCAGGCGGGGACTGAAGAGAGAGGCAGGGGTCTGCAGATCAGCGCTGTTGAGGTGGGACGCAGAGGTGGAGGGGTGGGGATGTGAACTGGGCCCATCTCCTGCTCGCTCACGGCACAGGGACCGCGGGGGGCTCTGCTGCTGTGGCACTCGCTGACCCGCCGCTCTCTGCCCTCTCTCCTCTCCCTCTGCAGGATCCCTGGTCCAGGCAGCAGTGACTCAGCCGGCCTCGGTGGACGTGTCGCCCGGAGGCACCGCCACCATCACCTGCTCTGGTACTGGTAGCAGTGATGATTATGGCATCAGCAACTACTATGGCTGGTACCAGCAGAAACCTGGTGGTGCCCCAGTCATTGTGATCTACGAGAACAATCAGAGACCCTCGGGCATCCCTGCGAGATTCTCTGGTTCTGCATCTGGCTCCACGGGCACCTTAACCATCACTGGGGTGCAAGCCGAGGACGAGGCTGTCTATTACTGTGGTACTTATACTGGTGGTAATACTGGTGACTCGATGGAAGCAAGGGACAGGGAAGTGTGACACAAATGTCCTATGATCATAGGGGTCCTAAAGCACTTTCTACTCTCCTTGTCTTGTAGTTGCAGAGGGCTCATCACAGCCCTCCCTTTCTCCTCTCCCTCTGCAGGATCCCTGGTCCAGGCAGCAGTGACTCAGCCGGCCTCGGTGGACGTGTCACCCGGAGGCACTGCCACCATCACCTGCTCTGGTAGCAGCAGCTACTATGCCTGGTACCAGCAGAAACCTGGTGGTGCCCCAGTCGTTGTGATCTATGAGAACAACAAGAGACCCTCGGGCATCCCTGCGAGGTTCTCTGGTTCTTCATCTGGCTCCACGGGCACCTTAACCATCACTGGGGTGCAAGCCGAGGACGAGGCCGTCTATTACTGTGCTGGCTATCCTGGTAGTTATACTGGTGACAAGGTGACGTGGAGCTTTGGAGAAGTGTGATCCAGAGCTCCTACCATTGCAATGATCACTGAACAGTGTCTGGTTTCCCCATGTGATGTTTGCAAGGGGCCCAACCACAATTCCCCCCATGATCTCCATGGTCTGCTGTGGTGCTGTGTACCTGGAGCCTGGGAACAGGAAAGTCCTTGTCCAGGTGGCCCCATGTGCAAAGCAGGAAAGC